AATTCAGAGTGTCATTCACCTATCTCTACCTCTGGATTTCTGTACCCAAAATCTTACCCTATGTCTAACATGTCATTTGTTTGCCTAAGGTTGACTATCACCAGGGGCTCTTGAATCCAAGACTTCACTGTAGGAAGAAAATTCAGAGTGTCATTCACCTATCTCTACCTCTGGATTTCTGTACCCAAAATCTTTAGGTGGATGAGAAACAGAGTAAAACTTGCTTAGTCTGGGCAAGTTCCCTAACGTCCCGTATGCTTAGGAGACTTTGCCTTAGGTCTGAGGCCAAAGCAGTTTTCCCAGCAAGACTCCTGTCCATGGTTATTACCTTTCTAACCCCCCACCCCCTCATCCTTACATTTAGGGAACCTTTAGCACAGGGAGGGAGAAGGAGGTAGGACACCCTTTGTGACATATCTAGTTGTTTGAGATCCCAGAAGTGTTCACTGTTGCTTCAGTGCAGGTACCACGCCTGCATGGGTACAAGGTATTGTAATAGTGGCCATCTTCTGTTCAATCAGATCAGCTACTTGTCCTGTGGAGATGGTTAAGGACTAGCTAGAGGGTTAGGCTATAGGTATTCCCTGTAGCCCTTCCTGACTAGAAAAAAAGCTGGGAAATCCCTCTTTCCTAACAAAAGCTCAATCATTAGAAAATTCTAAATACCCAAGCTAAAAGTATATTTCACTATTTCTGTTGAGTAGAACTGTAGATGGGGCCACTGTGCCTGGCTCTTTCACCCTCACACTGTAGGGTGTGCTCCTTTTCCTACATTTATTTGGCCCCAACTCACTCTGCAGAGCCTGTTTCTCTTCCTACCTTTAATAACACTTTGCTATGGGGGTGAGGGGGACTTTAGATTGTTATCTCTTTTATAAACCAGTTGCAAATCAGGTTTCCCTTGTAAGCAGTGGAGATTCTAGGCATCATAATTTTTGTGGGTTTCTTTTGTGAGTGGCCATTTTAGAATTTAATGTAAAAAATCCTTAACACTTAACTAGGCTTTTGACATTAGATAGACTTTGTGAATAATACATTGCATGGATTAGCACACTTATGCAATCTAAGCCATCAGTTGGTTGAATTAGCAGAGCTCTGGATTAGAGATTGTGGCCCTGAGTATCTGAGAGTTGAGTTTTGTGTGTGTGTGTGTGTGTGTGTGTGTCTGCTGTGTGATAAAGGTGCTTTGTTCCTACAGCTAGAAACAGAAGTAGCTATTCACTGAGTAGTTTAGAGGAGGAAGTATCAGCCGCATTTTCCCTACCAGCATTATATTCACAGCTCATGGATCTGCAGGGTTGCATTTGTATTATTGAACACATAAACTATGGTAAAATGTCACATTCTCAAAACTTCGTGCAGATTGTATTCTTATTTGAAATCAGTCCTGTGATCTCTGGTTGTCTTCGTACTGTCCGTTTTTAAAGAATATTATAAACATTTCTGAATTTGGATAATTAAGTGTAGTTCACTAAAGGAAATTAGAGAATTTTTTTCTTCAAAGGGATTTGAAATCAATTTGATAGTATTTTGAAATTAAATGTACCCCTAAACATGTCAATATTCAAAAAGTATTATCTCAAAGTTTTCTGCTCAGGCATATAATCTGATAAAACTTTTTTGTTTGCACTAAGGTAATTTTTGCTGCCTTTCTATTTTGAGCTACATTAAAATCCATATACCTTTTATAAAGTGCCTTTTTCCTTACTTTGAAAGTATAAAGTTGGGCTTCTCAGTGTAAAATGTGAGTGGAATCATTAGCTACCAAGACTAGGTACATTGTGAAAGTTCAGTGACTAATTTTTTTATTGACTGAGTCTCAATCCCGTGTTATGAATTTAGCACCAGTTTCAGAAGGAAATATATATATCAAGCTCTAGCTTGTGTAGGTCTAAAACCATTGCCTCAAAGAAATGGCTCCACAGTGGGTGGGGAAGTGGCTTGGGGAAAAACTGATGTTTATAAAAGACCAAAAGCTTTCTAGGTGGTGATAAAATTTTCATTAAATCATAGACAAGTGTTAGGTTGACATTAGTATTTTTGCATTTGATAGTGAATAATGATTTTCATAAAATTATTTTCAAATGTTCTTTCCCAGGTTTGATCCAAATACTTCCCTTTATTTTTCTAATATATCATACGTGCGTTCTTTCTTTCTTTCTTTCTTTCTTTCTTTCTTTCTTTCTTTCTTTCTTTCTTTCTTTCTTTCTTTCCTTTCTTTCTTTCTTTCTTTCTTTCTTTCTTGTACTGGGGATTGAACTTGGGACCTTTTGCCTGCAAGGCAGGCAGCGGAACCACTAAGCTAAATCCCCGCCCCAGTTGGTGATTCCTTCTATTTAATTTTTTTCTTCCAGGAAAATTGTGAATAGTGACATGAATAGTTGAGGACACACAAAAAGAAACCCTGTTCAGTTCACTGTTGAAGAGGGATATGTGTATGTGATGCCTTGGACCTTGTTTTATCCTGTTCTTTTCTTTAAAAGGAGCATGACATTTCTTAAATTTATTTTAGTTTAGATTTGCTTGTAGAGGATTGTCCTGACAGAAAGAAAGATGTCCTAAGTTTGAGATAGTACTACATTAAAAGTATCTTCAAAGATAAAAGAACTCATTTAAAAATATTCAATGTTACTACTAAGAATAGTTTGTTTATCATTTATTTAATTAGCTGGCCATAAATCAATGTCCTTATAACTCTAGCAAATTAACATTTTTTACTTTAAAACTGTATTATAGTAAATTACTGCTTACAAAACACACATACTGTGAACAGGTACATTTTTGTCTTTTATAAGGTTTATACTTGAATGTTTATGTACTATGTATTATATATATGTACCCTCTTCCCACAAGAAATGTAATCATTATATAATGCGAATGTATACTAATAAAAAATAAAATAAGAATCCCATAAATATTAAAGCTTACATAGTTAGATCTCTCAGAAGTTGGACAGATCCATTATTTTGTCCCTTGATAGATAAAGCATGTAATATTTTCAGAATAATGTCAGTGTCTTATCGGCCTTGCTTTAACTAATTACTATGTTTTTTTTACTGTGGTTTTTACACAAATTATTTTCAATTAAATAAAACTTAGAAGGACTAAAATTGGTAGAAATGATCAGGTACCAAAGTATTTCCTGATGTAGAAAATTATGATTTAGTGTTCTATTATTAGAATCAATTATCTGAAGCATGTGGCATATTCTTATTTATTAGCCTATATATCATCATTCTGAGGGAAATAACGAAGTGTTTTATTTATTAAATATTTCCTAAGCACCACTGTTTTAAGTACCTTGTGTTGATTATCTCACTTAATTCTCCTAACAATTCTGTATTATTTTACCTGTAGTTACATGGGGCACAAAGGTTTAATAACTTTCCCTAGGCATTCAATTCTAGAGTCAAAATTTGAACCTAGTTTTATTAAATTCCAAAGATCAAACTCTATATTTTAAAGAGAGGGAGAAATACAATTCCTTGTTCATACTCTTAAATGTGAAATAGTTATTTCTTAAAGAGCAAGTTGTTTGACCATTTCCAACCATTTTAATTGAACACATATCTTATGTGATTCTTACCAGTCCATATGAAAGGTAGCAATATAAAAGAATACAAGGGATAAGATTAACAAATGCTGGGCGGAATCTGAAATACCTGATCTGTTCTCCAGAGTAACTGGAGACTCACGAGACTCTGCTACTTGAAGACCTTAAGAGGTTGTCTCTGCTATCAGAACATTTCATTTATTAACTTGACCTTGTGGTCTTGCTCCCCTTTCAGTCCCCAGTTAAGCTGCCATTGGTATGGGATTTATAGTGTGTCACTAGCATGTCCAAGAGACATTGACAGAGGTGTGATGGAAAAGCTGGATAATAAAGAATGGAGATGATGTAGCTGATGCTCAGGACAGACCAAGACAGTCGACTAGATGTATGTCCTAAGCACTAACACTTGCCCTGGATGCCAAGTGGCTTTGTCCAAAGGAACAAAGATGCCCATACTGAGTGACCAAGATACCCATACTTTCTACCCAGGATGAGAGCCCCCAAATCTTGGGAAATTATTATATTTTTAAGCATGTTACAATTTCTCAGGAGAGAATCTGCACTTGATTCCTCCTTTAGGTTTTAAAACAATAAGGTAAATTTTATAAGTGAGAAATTTTTTTTAGGAAAAGAAAATCTCTTGACTGTACCAAATGTGAAAATATTATGTGGCAGTAGACCATGTAAGTTAGGTATTTTTGAAGTTCTTTCCAGGAATTTTAAGTGTTTGAACTTTATTATTTATTTATTTATTTATTTATTTATTTATTTATTTGGTACCGGGGATCAACTTGGGTCCTTGTGCTTGCACAGCAGGTGGCAAAACCACTGAGCTAAATCCCGGCCCTGACCTTTATTTTGTATAGGTAAGTTTATGTTAACTTGTGTTTTAAACAAATAGTGAGACTTTGGACTTCTTTTGTTAGAATTCAACTAATTTAAAAAATTATTATTCCTCTAGAGATGAATCTTATTTCTATTTCACAAATTTGGAAATAAATCTCTGACTTTTGAGGTAACAGAGGAAGAAGCCACAGGCATCCAAATTTTAAATTATTATTTTATATAGCACTAACAATATCTTACACTGTAGATATAGTTTTCACAGTCAACGTTGATAAAATGCGTGTAAGTGCATCTTAATTCTGGCTAGCTTTTTTTTTTAGTTATTAGGGTAACATTTCTCCATCCCAATTTTCTCAGCATTTAGGAAGAATTGATTAGCCATTTAAGCTATGAAAAAAAGCCTATTTTCTTAGTTTTCTAGGTTTTGAATAACTGATAAGGCCCTGCCTGAAGATAAAGTTGGTAAAAGTTAGAGCTTGGGTTTTTCTACCTGGGTAGTTATCAGTCTTCTCCTAAACCAGTCTGCCTTTTGATAGCTCTAATAATTAATTTGGTCTTCTCTCTCTTTTCCCTTACCCCCCTTCTCCCTGTCCATTCACAGGTTATCTTGACGAATCAAATTACAGCCCATCTGAGCAGAGCCCTTGCTTCTCAGGCAGACCTGGTGTCTCCAGCTGATGATTTGTCCCTGTCTGAAGGTAAGGGATCTGTCCTGGGGAGGCTGAAACTTGACTCTGACATATAGCCCCACTGCCTCTCTGCTTCCTGTTGAGAGGTAGGACACAGTGGCTAAGGGGCATTGCCAGTGAATCCAGGCGGAGCCTGGTGATTTAGGCTTGGCCACCTTTCCCAGCATCTGATCTTATATTTGGAGAGTCTTGTCCTGGCCCTATAAGTGAGCTTACTTTTTCATTTGAGTGAGTCATTTTCATGGGCATCCATCATTCCTATCTGGAGGTTTGTCACTTTTTTGTGACTTGCCTTAGGTCCTTAATATGAGGGGTGGCAAACTGCTAAATGGCTTGAAACTGATGGTCAAAGGTTGACTTCACCAGAAGTCCCATTGCAGTTTAGCCATTTTTTGTACTGAGTACATTCCTGATCAGCTTTACAGAAAGATTAAAAACCTCCATAGTGATAAATGTACAAAAGTTTCTCCTCCCTCTCCTATTAGCAAAGGTCAGGCTGGCTATGGTTTTGATGGTAATAAGCTTTATGTAGCTGGGGAAATTACAGAAAGCTAGAGGGTGTTTTTTTGTTTTATTGAAAGCTCCTACTTGACATTTCTGACTTCTTGTTGTAGTTGAATTTCGAGCATAATGCCATGGGCCTGGGTAGGTGTGTCTCACTCGTCTAGGTTCTCTTCCCTTTCCACTTTCTGAGAATTGTCTGTGATGGAACACAAGGGGCTTTTAGGTCTAACAAGCCACCTAACTGACTGCCCAGAAGGTCTCCCATGGATTGGCAGCCTTGGTTTATGGTCTCAGAAACTGCAAGAACCATACTCATTCTTCTTAGTGGTTTCTTTCAGTGTGAAAACTAATGACATATTTACAAAAGCTAAAAAATGCTCTGTATACTTTCTTTTTACATTCAGTGATACATTATCATCCTCCTGCCACTTGGGCTGAAAATCTGAATCATCTAGATTCTCTCTTCCACCCGCAACTCCTTTCATCAAGCCTGTTTAAGTTTTTCTTTCCAAATATATCTTCTCCCCCCCCCTTTTTTTTTTTGGTAATTTGTGTTGTGGTCAACTAATTTATTAAACTCACGGTAGAATTATTTTAATAAAATCCAAAAGACTTTCTCAATTTTAGTATCTACCATTGCAATTCTGCTGCTACCAAATTAAACTTCTACTGTATCTCTGTCCTGCTCAAAAAGCTAGGTGTTGTCTTACGAGAACAGCTAAAATTGGGAAGCCAGCTTAAAAATATTCACGCATTTGAGGATTGTTATAATCAGCCAGGGTAGAAGTATTTACACCATAGGAATCAGCAAATGGCAAACCTCAGGTGTTTTTCTTAATTTTGGGTGAACCAGTTTCCAGAATACCACTAAATAAAGTTAATATCTCTTAGCCTTTCACAGTTTCCATTTTTCCTTGCTGTTCAACCTTAGTTCCCACCTATTCCTTATGTGAAACTCCTGTGCCAAGTGTGCTGATCTTCTGCCTGCCCTTCCCACTCCTGCCTCCGCACTGCAGCAGAGATTGCTCACCTCATCTAGAAGAGCATTTCCCCTTTTTACTTCCAACTCTTATTGTCTTTCCTAGTCCACTTCTTCCAAAAGTAAAGATCACCTCTTGCCGGGAACCTCCATGCCTATACAGTTTGTCTCTCGCATTCTTCCTTCTCTGCGTCCTCTCCTTGCTCAGCTACATAAAGAAAAGGTCTAGAAAATTTGACTTTTCATGGTTTTCTGACTGGCAGATTTTTAAGGATGCTATGTCGTATTCTTTTTGTGTCCATATTTTACCTAAGTGACTAGCAAAATTACAGGCATTTCGTAAACAGTAAATAAATGCAGGATGAACACTACCCTACATACTTTGAAGGAACAGTGACCATGAGAATCTTACAAAGCACAAAGGAACATCATTATAAATTGTTATAATCACACACACACAATACTACATTTGTTCAGCTTTGAAGAAACCAAAAGAAAGTATCTTGCTGCCTCATTTGACAATCATTATTCTTTATTGTGGCTTCCTGGTTTATTTGAAGTAAAGAAGAGGAAAATAGAGACAAAAGAAATGGTTCTAACCTGCAGTTTAACTGCTACAGAAAAATAGTCATTTCATCAAAAAGGGGAGTTACCAGCTCATCCTTATTATGAGATCCAAGGGAGAATGGAAACAATTACTTTTTCCACATCTTTTTTCCTGTATAGCTGAACAGATAAAAGAGAATATATAAATATTTTCCCTAAAGTCTATAAGGAAGCTACTTACCAGTTAATTAAAATGAACAAATGTCTTAGAACATTTATCCTATTCAAACATATTACAATGGTTGTTATGATATATGTATTCATATATGATATTATATCTCATGTTTCATATAAAATGTTGCTCTCTTATTGTTTCATACATCCATTATATCAGCTTTGTCTTTGTGCTAACTGATCTTGAACAAGTCTATCAACCACTTTGGGCCTCCATTTCTTCTTGGGTTCTGTGCTAGATTGGATAAATAAAAGATTGCCCAAGTCTTCTCCAGTTTTGACATTATAAGATTATGAGGTAGGTCTGCATATCAGGAGCATACGCCCACAGATGGGGTTTATTTCTGATTTACAGAGTCCTGTAATAGATTTCAGCTGTGGAACAGAGGACATTGCTTAAACAGTGCTTCCTTGAAAACAGTTGTGAGGTGAGAACAAGCAGGCAAGAGTAGCCAACAATAAAATGATCTGAGTTGACCTGAGAGGAGTACCCAGCAGGGGCTGATTCAGGAAATGAAGTTCCTTCTGCTCTGACGCAAAAGAGAGAATACAAGTGACCTGGCCCAACTGAGAGATCTCTTCTACCTCAGCGGATCCTGTGCTATTAATATCTGCCAGCTGCAGGCTCAGAACATCTCCCTGCTGAGATCAAAGGAGCCCCTATCTTAGCTGGAACAAGGTCATCTACACAGGGCTGTAAAAGTGAGCCCTGGCTGGCTGCAGGGATGTCTATGGGGGAGGAGAAGTCAGGAGATGGGGAGGTACTCTCTCATGCTCCTTTAATCTCAGCTGACCAGCTGCTGCCCTCCTCATGTTTGTAAAGTTGAGAGTTCTTTGTTTCTGTGTCCTTCTTCCCTTTATTAAATTTGTTGCTGCGTTGTTTCTTGGAGTAAGCATATCCAGTGTTCATGGTTTGAGTCTATAGTATGATCCTCTTCATTTAGGTTTCATTTCACTGTTGAGCTATCCACCTTCCAAATGGGAGAGTCAGAGAAGGGAGAAGTGTACCCCAAAAGCCAAGGACTTTCCTGCTGTTTTTCTTGCTGCCAAGAAGGAATTGTGCCTCTAGAAGGAAAGAGGGAGCAGATGGAGTTTTCTGTATTGAGTTAAAATAACTCATCTGTGCTGTGTGCTTGTCTGTTTGTAGCCTGCCTTCACAAGCTATACTATCGAATGCATTTGGGAGATTGGAACTTTAAGGACTTACACAAATTGACAAAAGTTAAAAATCACTTTCCCAGCGTGTTTCTCCCTCTCACTGGTTTGTACACACTTCCAGTTGTATATATGTTGGTGTGGGAAAGAGGCAGACTGACAGGGCCAGAAGTACCTAGAGGGAGGGAGGAAGTAATAAATATGTGAGAGTATCATTGTTAAAATTTCTGAAGATCCTTTTAAACATGTTTCATCTAGGGTAACATCAGCAACAAGGCCATTCTTCCCATTCTGTAAATCTGATTAAAAATCTCATCAGTGGGTGGATGCTCCTGATCTTCAGACTCCTCTCATTATTTTAAAACATCAGAGCTTGGAAAGACTTTAGTAATGTTCTATTCATCTAACATGTCATTTAAAAGGAGATGGAACAGAAGTAAAGATTTTTTTTTATTTACGTTTTATATTATTCTAGAGTGGGCACTGTGATTCAAAGTATTTTCTTCAGTTTTTGCTTTGTTGACAGAAACTCCACACATATAGGTGATCTTAGAGTTCAGTGATTTGTTATTGTGACTGTTCTGTTTCTTACCAATGCCAGTTCTTCTTTTGAGCCATTCAGATACTAAGGACTATTGGACCTCAGTCCTAGGAAACCTCTTTTTCTTACAGTGATAGTACAGAAAAGATCTAACAGCCAGCTGGCCTAATATGCCATGTCCTATTCTAAAGTCACCTGGGATTTGAGCTAAAGAACTGGCTGAGTCCCCATCTATGAGGCACAGTTGGTAGGTGACATTGATATATGGTGACAGTTAAGCCTTCTGCAAGATTACAGCTCAGTACAACTTAGACCTTTATCTTTCTTCTGAGGATATAACAAGGTTACATCAATGTGATGACATGGTCCACTTGAGGAGTCCCATTTGGCTTCATGGGAGGCAAGATATTATTAGGCTGCCATCCTGGAATTCCTAGTACCGAGAAACTAAAAATTAGAAGTACCTGGAAGAGTTAGGGAATGAATACAAGGAAAAAGTTTTACTTACCAGAACCAAGAATGGTTTCTACTTTTGGTGCTGGAAGTTTTTTGTTCTGGTTGTAGTCAGGGAAATTAATGGCTTATTTCATGTGTAAGAGAAAGTATTCTGGGACTCAAATTCCCCAGGAAGCCATCCCTGCAAAAACCTGGAGTCCATTTGAAAGATTATATGCAAGTGCATGGCTGGTGTCTCTTTTAAAATAAAGTCAGCAAGCAAGAGCAGATCAGAATGGTTGGGGCAAATCAGGGACTCATGGTTGTGAAAGAAGCAGACTTCAAAGTGTGGTATGAATTTTCAGGTTTTATTTCCACTCTTGCTTTCCAGCTGGATCTGCTCTGGATTTACTGCAGGATGTTTGAAAATGTGGCTCCCTGCTAATCTCAGACAGTTGCTATGATCAATGGTTTCTTTCATTTCCGATAAAAAACACTGGTGTTTCAGCTTAAATTGTGTACTTTCAGCTTTATTATTTTAGTTGTGATTTATTGTTCTGCATTACTCAAATTTGTAATCCATTAACCACAAACTTTGGGGTGGGTTGGTCAAGT